CGAAAAGATTCCGAAAAGGTTCAGAGTGGGTTCCGAATAGGTTGTGCGTGTTCTGAGTAGGTTCTGTCTGCATGTTCCGAGTGGGTCCTGAGTGGGTTCTGGCTGTGTTCTGAGTGTTCCAAGTGGGTTCCGGTTGTGTTCCGAGTGGGTTCTGGGGATCCGGGGGCTTCCGAATGGGTTCTCAATGGGTTCCGACTGGGTTGCGAATGGGTTCCGAGTGGGTTTGGAGTGTTCCAAATGGGTTCTCAATGGGTTTCGAGTGGGTCCTTAGGGTTCTCAATGGGTTCTCAGTGGGTACCGAGTTGCTTCCGAATAGGTTCTCAATGGGCTCCTAATGGGTTCTTAGGGTTTCGAGTTTGTTCCGAATGGGTTCTCAATGGGTTCCAAGTGGGTTCCGAATGGATTCTCAATGGGTTCCGAGTGGGTTCTTAGGGTTCCGAGTTGGTTCCGATTGGGTTCTCAGTGTGTTCTCAATGGGTTCTGAGTGGGTTCCGAATAGGATCCGAGTGGGTTCCGAATGGGTTCTGAGTGGGTTCCGAATGGGTTCTGAGTGGGTTCCAAATGGGTTCAGAGTGTTCCGTGTGGGTTCCGAATAGGTTCCGAGTGGATTGTTAGGGTTACGAGTTGGTTCTGAATGGGTTCCAAGTGGGTTCTGAGTGGATTCTGAATAGGTTCTCAATGGGTTCCGAGTGAGTTCCGAGTGAGTTCCGAGTGAGTTCCGAGTGGGTTCCGAGTGGGTTCTGAATAGGTTCTCACTGGGTTCCGAGTGGGTTCTCAGCGGGTTCCGAGTGGGTTCTCAGTGGGTTCCGAGTGGTTTCTCAGTGGGTTCTGAGTGGGTTCTCAATGGGTTCCGAGTGGGTTCTCAGCGGGTTCCGAGTGGGTTCTCAGCGGGTTCCGAGTGGGTTCTCAGCGGGTTCCGAGTGGGTTCCGAGTGGTTTCTCAGTGGGTTCTGAGTGGGTTCTCAGCGGGTTCCGAGTGGGTTCCGAGTGGGTTCCGAGTGGGTTCTCAGCGGGTTCCGAGTGGGTTCCGAGTGGTTTCTCAGTGGGTTCTGAGTGGGTTCTCAATGGGTTCCGAGTTGTCTCTCACCCCCTGACCCTCTTTCTTGCAGGGAAAGCGGCTGGTGGGCGCGGACGGCGTGGAGGGCGTGAACGACCTGGTGCAGGAGAACGCCATGCTGCAGACGGAGAACAACCACCTGCGGGTCCGCGTTAAAGCCATGCAGGAGACCCTGGACACCCAGAAGAACCGACTGGCCCAGGTTCTGAGTCAGGAGGCCCGGCAGAACCTGGCCGGGGCAGGTGGGTCGGGGTTTTACACTTTATTTTTGTTTTCATTCATTTTTTATGAAAATGTTTAATTAATCAAGCATTTTA